TAATTAATATTAGCGGATAATATGCGTACAATATAAAGAGGAAATAATATGATCTTCTAAGAAATTGCGCTTACCTAAATATATACTCACTTATACAGTTACATTCATAATTCACAAATATCTGTACAGAATAATCACAAACATGGTTTATGGGAACAGAAGATGCCATAAACCATGTTTGTGGCATCTTCTGTTCCATGAAGATACTTTTACGAATGTGTACTGGAAGAAACTTCCATAAGTTCATCCAGCCGCATGAATCATGAGTAATCCAGTATATCATAATAAGATATTGGGAAGGATTTTAAGAATGAAAGGCATATCAGTGGGAATAAGAAAACTAAAATAATATGGTCTTCTAAGAAATTGCGCTTACCTAAATACATACTTACTTATACAGTTACATTCAAAATTCACAAGGGATTTTAAAAATTAGGGGCATATTAGTGGGAACAAGAAAACTGAAAGTTTTTCATTGTTGTTATTTCTTAAAAATCGGGTTTTTTGTAAAGCCAAATTAATCTCATAAGCATCATTTCAACCATTATCCTGAACATAAACCTCCCCCATAGACTGTCATAATTAACGGTCCTGAGGCACTAACATTAACCTATTTGTGATTAATTAAAAATTATGGCTCATCGCACACTGACAGAATGACAGTGGCAGCGCACCCCACTGCACCCGATCGATGCGAGGTCACTGGGCAATTCATGGCGATCACTGAAGGTCACAAGCATTATTTCAATATGCCTTTATTTTATCGCAGAATTTTGTATACGAAATCCATGTCTGTTCATTACATTTTCTATACACCTTGAGAAACCCGTAATGGCAAAGAAACATACGATTCGTCTGAGCTCTATTGATATTGTATAAAAATATGTACGAAATACTCCAGAAGAATAATCGCTAAGTGGCTATCTTTTGAACTTTCTTGATTTGTATGACAACTACTGTGTGTATTTAACCTAAGCATTTTTTATATCCTGTAAATGCTCAGATTATATACTTACATATCGAGATTGAAACACGCGTTTCAAACGTTTTACCAAAACAAACTCATTATTTTATTTTTATGTATGTTTTCTAAGATGATTTTTATTATAAATTAGTTTATTACTATTTATCAATGCATCCGTAAGTAGTAATACATGATATATGTTTAAAAAAAAATAACAACCAACAAGTGATTGATTATTATTGGGATAATTTTTGACAATTAAATGATACATGCATAAATTATGTTTTTTGATAAACAAAAGTTTATCCATTTGTGATTTGCCTATACAAATAAACATACATCCAGACGACCTGTATATTGTGTACTGTTGATTTTTAATTATTAATATTATATAAAATATTAATAGTTATAACATATACTTTAAGATATCTTGTATGTTTTAATATACATATTAGTCGATTAATATCATATCGCAACAATCGTTCAAAAATCTCCATAATTGCATAGTTGAAGTTTAGCGCATACCCTATTATGAAGAGAGTACAGAACGTTGGTGGAAATCTGATGGCATTGACCATTATAAAGCTAGTTCAAGGATGTAGATTTTCACTGCACGCGAATAATCAATTTTGGGGGCCACCGGTTGTGAATCAAAAGTAACATGATTGAATATTACGATAGTTACATTGCAAGCTCGGGACTGGCCTATAGGTGTCCTTCTATATTCCGTTTTCATTCTTATTTCGTTTTTGTTCTAGATATTATGATAGGCATAAAAATTGGGAGAGAATACTTTTAACATTAAGTCCACCTTGTACAGATACTAATGAAAATCATATTCCAATATTTATTAAGTAATTGAAAAATTTCGTTAGATGCTAAAATTGTTTACTTATCATGCAAAATATAAAAAAAGAGCTAAATGGTGCCTAGGTAGTTAAATACAATGCACTTTATATTTAAGTTTAAGAGTTGATAACTGTTGTTCAAATGTACGTATCGCTTAGGCTCTTCAGCAAGGTAACTTAATTTCATAGGGCAATAACTTCTTGATTATCTCGATACTTATGCGCGTGGGATTTTAAACATCACGTTGAAAAACTTTTGCAGAAAAATATACAGGAGTTTGCTATTTGTAAATAAAAATATTATTCTTACTTCAGACGCCTTCTTATCGCTGTAGATATGTTTTAATTAAAAGTTGGAGAATGTTAATTAATATTAACAATACTTATAATAACACCTGCTGTGAACTTACATTTTTTACGAAAAAATACAAGACATATCAATATAGATACATACTGGAGATAGTTTGAAAATCCACGTACCACCCAATAGGAAAAACGATTGTTGATAATGGAGTCTAAATGTTCCATTGATATTTGTTAGGGTAATACTGCTAGTATTACCCTATCAAATATCTCCTCATAAAAAAACTAGTAATCAAATAAACAGATTTCTTAAGTTATTGTGAAATTCTTGTCTTAATTTTGCTTTTTTCTTCTCAGTGTGGGTGTTGTAAGGTGAGGCAAATTAATATTAGCACAGTAATCTAAAAATTCTAAGGAAAAAATTCTAACGAATATACGTTTAATTGATAAATTAATTACACTATAATTTATAGTTAATCTATTTCGCGTATAAAAAAATGTCTCCTTTGAAAAAGAATTATAATTTGAAATAGATGTACAGGGTGAATAAAGGTCAAGTTCTAGGGCTGGCGAGGGCGCGGCGTGCTGTCGATGGTGTACGCTTGGCCGCACGTCTACCCAAGGCCGCTAAACATCAAAGCTTCCAGGGACTTGCAAATTATCCTCTTCGGCGAGCAAACCGGTTTATAGCGAGCGACGCCTCTTCTAAATATATGGGTCACATGCATGGATTTATATTTTAAGATAATTTTTAGTATAAGTTTGTTTTTGTAGCCTTTATTTTATAGATCTGGCACTTGTATTTCATACATTACTTAAACTTACCACGCACAACCATTCTTTGGAATCAACTTCCAGCAGCAGTATTTCCGAACCGATACGACAACATAACCTTCAAGAAAAGAGTATATTCCTTTTTAAAAGGCCGGCAGCACACCTGCAATGCCGCTGGTGTTGTGGGTGATCATGGGCGGCGGTAGTCACTTACCATCAGGTAAGCCGCATGCTCGTTTGCCCCCTGTGTTGTAAAAAAAAAAAAAAAAAAAAACTTTATTATGTCAATTCTAAGATCCCTTAAAGTCATTACACATTATTTAATACTAAATTGATTACTAAAGTCATCACAAAATTTTTATTTTTATTTGACACTTTAGCAATATCATTATGATGTGGATCAACGGATATTAAATAGAAACCAATTCAGACAATTCTCCTAAAAATTAATATTATTTTGGTTCTTGGAATAATTATTTCGCTTCAATGACAAAACAAAATTTTAATTTTAGAAATAAATAATGGTAATTCGAATTCGACTCCAATGTCTACTAAATCTAAATTTTGCATAGCTTCTTATTCACTATATTCAATTAATTTAAAAAAGAGGAATTTCTTAATTCAATTACTTTTTTTGTATTTAGGTAGATATAAGGTTACTCAACACCTTCACCAATTTATCATATTTGTTTGCATTTTGTTGAAATTTTCTTTTTTAATTCAATATAGTTATTCCCTTATAAATTGCATAAAAATTTCGTTACGATTAATGGTTCTCTTTTATGGAGTCCAGTCATTAATTTTTAACTAAATACTAAATATAGCTCAGATTGGCACATACGTCGTGGCATTAAATTAAATAAACAAAATTAAGATTGCACTGAAGCTACACAGAAGGCGGCGATGATCTTTTGTAAGATCTATATATATTCAAAGATTCGACACATCAAACGGCTAATAAGATGGATCTAGATATAACGTGATGAGCGATGAATTTTTAACGTTCAAATTGACGTCATACAACTTATCATAACATGTCTCGAATCTAGCATCTCAGTACACGGACTAGTGGAAGTCACACAATTACACAAACTACCTTTTCTTCGACCCATAAGTAAATAATGTTACGTACGTACTGGGGTATAACCACATATCTAATCTTTATTCTTAAGATATAACCTTATAATATTAAATAGAATAGTACAGAACCGGAGCGAATTAAGGAAAATGTATTTTCTTGAAACATCCCAATTAACCAAGAACTAAACTCTCTCATTCAATAATACTATACCACAAAGATCGTAATAAATACATAAATAATCATCTTCATACATTCTTCATCATTCTTTGACTTTACTGGAACCATATACTCGTATTTATTTATCTATAATACCTAGATTATATAATTAGGTACACATTGATACCTTTTGTATCCCTTCTTTCTACAACATTATTATTATTTTCGTTGTCACATATAAAGAGACTGAATTAGACTAATGTAAACTACTATCCACTTTGACGTTTTGTTTTTTTATTTTATTATACTTTGTTTATTTTAGTTTTTATGTTTTGTACTTACTCGTACTTATATTGTTTGTGCTCTAATAATCACAGGTGTGATGTTGGGGTATTCGTGATGCCACTATGGAACCCATCAAAATATCAGCACTACCAACAGTGGAAATGTATCCGCTGTTAATGGAATGCTGAAATAGGAACCGTTAGTAATTTTTCTCTTTTATAATTATGAATATGTACTTGTAAAATTGTTTTATGGCCAATAAATGTTTTCTTTTCTTTTTGTACACATCTATAATAAAACTCATTTAGTCTGAATAATAAATCCTTTTTAAATTACCTACATGATGTACTAATACAAATTAAGCTCTTATTCTAAAATAATTACGTCTATATTTTACGTCTTATATAACAAAGACTTTGAAGAGACGTAGTGAACTGTAATTGGCATACTTATCTAAGTACTAACGAAATTTTAAAGTAAATGTTCTAAAATTTCTTTATAATATATCTAAGAAGTTTTAGTTGGTTGTAAGTTATCAAAAGGGCGCAGGAATATTTTTTATAGAATATTCGAGAAAATAAACGTAAAATAAAAATAAGTATAAACTTTATTAAAGGGTCATTTTCATTATCAAAATATAATAAATGGTTTTTATAACAAAAAAATATTGTTCAATCTAATATCGTTAGATCTAAGCGTGAGATGCTACAGCTATAAAGGTGTCTTTGTAATGCACTGATAATAACACTACCAGGTTTACTTGCAGATTGTAGAGCTAAGTACTTGAATCCTTTAGGAAACCTAAACTCAACATAACACTAGAATCATATTGTCTGTGTAGGTACTGGGTATCTTTTAGTTAACTCTCAATAGTGACTAAATTAATATGGGACAAATTAATTACTAAAATAATCCTAATTTTTGCGTTTTTTTTTTTCAACAAGAGAAGCTAGTGTATTGAAAATTATTTTCATGGGAGTCCTGATCCGTTTAAAGCGCATTTGTACTCCTTGGCATATCTTTCCCCACAACAGAAAATTTCGTTTCTGGTTTCAAGATCAGGACCCACAACAGGGTGGGCACTAATTAAATGCGCTTATGCCAATAACTTAAAATTGTGTTTCACAATAAAACCCACTTCAATTATGGCAAAACCAGTTATTTTGACTTAAAAACTAAACTACTTAACTGCTTTTAATATTTTTTTTATGGGACTAATCTGCTCTCTCAGAAAAAAAATAACTTTCCAAATCGGTTAACTGGCGGAATTGAGGTAACAAACAGAAAAAATACAACCAAATTGGGAACCGCCTTATTTTTAAAGTCGGTTGAAGAACAAGCAATGCAGTCTTTTAGTTACAGCATAATTTAACGGAATTTATCTGGTACGTAATTAGCCCGACTTAAAAAATAACGACTTTCTTTCACGCATTCATAACACATAGTCACATTAATATCCCTAATCAGAATAATCAGATTGGTTTTAAATTAACATTTCAACATCTCCAACAAGTCTATAATTTACCTATATATGAAAAAATTTATGAGTTATGAAATTGAATTGATTTATTCGGCGAGCGGAATGAAAGCTCAATAATGATAAAAACGTAATTTTTATAGGAAGGAACTGTCGTCGAATTTAGGAAGCGAGGCGTAAAATAACAATTATATTTACGATTAAATATATAAAGTTGTCTATATATTTAAAAGATAAAATAATCTTCTAAATACCTAAACAAGGAAGATAAATTAATCTCCGTTGTATTGATAATTATAATTGCACACAACATTTTCAGGAAACGTCCGTTCTCTTCATCTTATTCATGATTACGTAGGGATTTTTACATGGTCAGTAACTAATTATCTGTGCTTACTATGAAATTTTGACGACTTTGACGGCATAACTTCTTTAACGTACGATCATTGTGGGTTCAATCCTCGAACAATACAAACATTAATTTCCTTAAAAATAATTTTAAGGGGATGAAAATGGAATGATTACCCCGCTTGCGAAATTAATGTACGCTAGTAGGGTATCAATGAGGGATCGAAAGGAAAGGGATTTATTTGTATGTTGGGTACATATATATGTGCTACATGTACATGCATTTTCTTTGTTTAATTAACAGTTTTATTTATTCTACTGGAACACTAGCGCCTCTGCCTTGAGGAGGTGGGCGTTGACAGCCACGACACAGTTATTTTTAACTAATGTGGCTGTTATCGTAAACTACCCTACTTTTGTAATTTTTTATGGTTCCAATAAATACATTTTTAATTTTTTTTAACAGTGAGGGATAATAAGCGAAGATAAAATCAGTCCAGTTGGCCCATCGTGACGAATTCATTAAGAATTAATCACTTATTTTGTATGATATGACATAAATGGCATACTACATTACTAGCACTGGACAATCAGATAAGAATTTAAAACAATTACCTAGATACCTACGCCTACTCATTCCTCATAACAAATGCCGTTTTCGTTATGTTTTTTTAATTACTGACAGACAAGTAAATTGTCCCTATCATTTGTATGAAAGCATTCATTTCATGCTATTGCTGATATTATCGTAATGAAAGTAGCTCGTTATGTTCGCCATGACAGCAATTCGTGTCTACGCGTCCTGCCATACTAGCTACCACCTATTCATTCATTCGATTAATTACTCTTAGTTCCATACCCATACATAGAGATAGATGGCGTAAGTATCATAATTTGTATGAAAATTAAGTGCTGCACTATTATAATACTTGTCTTGACATTGCAAAAGTTTTTTATCTGTAACAAACCAGGCAGTTTGCTACCGCTATATTTCCTATAAATAAAACTAATGACGGTTTAAGAATGCTACAAGTAAACAAGTCTATTTGAATTGAAATGATTTAAATTTAAATATACTTCTATTCATATAATACAGCAAGAGTTCTTAATAAATATATAGAATAACATAGCATTTATACTTTTTTCGATATAAATTTTATGTATGAAATCCGAATCGAATATTAAAAGAGTTAGGCCCTGTGAAGCCTATTGTAGAGCCAAAATTTGACACGCAATAACTATATTAATGTGTACCTAAAAGGTATAATTCACTAACAATATCATCGTTACTTACTTACCTTGTAATTCCAAAAAAAAAAATAGGAAAGGCTGTATCGTATATTCCTAAAAATGGTACTGTACAAATACAATTATATGGGTAGAGAGTAAATGGTAATCCATTTAAATTTTTCATTTTCCTATTTTTGGCTTATAAGCCTAAATAGAATTATTGATACAGAATATAATATTATCTGGAATTCGATCCGAAACTAATAGCAATAAGTAGATAGCTGAAGTGTAATGCTGGATAAAAAGTAGCCTATATATACAAAGAACAGATATCTGAGGGTCTGTCTGTGTGTCAAATTTTATAGCAACCCATTCAGTCATGTGTGATTGAATAACAAATATCTTTACTAATTTTCATTGTATTGTATTGTAAAATATTTATTGTACAGAATTCATACGGAATACATCAAAACATTTAATATTATATAAATTTAATATACCTTTCATATTCATAATTTTAGTAGGATCGACTTTAAGACTAAAAAACAAGACATTTGCTCGCTTCTTTGTAGGCGTAGATGTCAAAAATAGGCTAACCCTAATTCTGAAATTTTGAAGTGGCCTATTTTATTAAAGAAAAGAAGAAAGAAATAAAACATTTACTGCCAACAACAAAAAAGTTACATAAATTATCAAAGGCCACTTCTAAACGGCGTATGAAATTGGAACATATCTACCAGACTACCAGATATAAGTTAGACCTTCAAGAACACAATTAAGAGGCAGTTTGTATCTAATTTGATGTAGTAGTTTTCACATGAAGCCGGATCAGACAAAATTTTTATAAATTATTGTTTTTACACTTCCTATGTGCAGACATCGTCTACTGACAATTATATTAGTAAGATAAGATTGGGCATATTACCAAAGTAACCAAAAACTAAAATAAAAGTAGACATAGAAACAGGTACAGAAATCAAAGGGAACATCTTTCAACTAGTTTAGACTGTAGTTTGATGAATGTATATGATAATTTTCATATGTAACTATTGTTTGAAAAGTTTTGGCGATGTTTGACATATCTACGGCTGAGAATACAATGTTCTGCGTATGTCACTAGGTACTCACCTATCTAACTAGGTAATAAGCATTATTGCCAATTTACAAGACGTTGAACAGTAAGTACCTACTCACGTAATATAGCTACGTTGCGACAATAAGTCATTTTTTAGATTTTAAGGTCGCAACTCTAAAATTACTAAGAATGGCACCTTTTTAGAATCAGCGATGTCAACATGAATCATTTTTATACAACATGACATGACAAACAGATTAATTTGATCTCATTTATTTATAAATCGTCGCCAAAAAAAGTTGAAAACACTATAGATTATCTGTAATCATAGACAACTAGAATACACTTCGGCATCTATTGTAACCTACGATTACCTAAAGGACTAAGATATTATGTAAAATATGCGTTAGGTTTCAGTTATAAAAAAATATTCAAAATATGTTCAGCAACTCAGATACCTATAAATATTTAGATACTTGTCTCCCATTGTGGATAGGTCAAAAATAAAACATTATTATTAACTTTCATCAAAACTGACTAATATTGAATAATCTTTTGTTATGCAACTTAGAATGACAAACAAGCTTACAGGCCGCCTGATGGATTGATCTTCAACAAAAAACATAAATAGTGCCATGAACATAACGGAGTATACTGTGTCACCCGTGATACACTTCATGCGTAGCCATTCCTGGGGCCGTATTATGAACTCTTATTTCCAGGCAGATTACGGCGTAAATTGAACTGCCTTGCTAATTCATATTATGAATGCTACAAACCAGCCAGTCAGCGGTCACGTGACAGTTGAGCGACATCTGCCCGTATTTTGGCTGGTTATTTCGTACTAAGGTATGTAAGGCTGTAAAGGTTTCATTGACATATCCCACTCTTCCATGCCGTTATCATTTGGTCTTGGCATAGAATGGGCAGGATGGGCAGCAGCATCCCTCTTAAAACATCACCAAATGCTGTGGTAGCAAACCCGCCTGCAAAGTGTGAAAACTATTAGCAAACCCGCCTGCAAAGTGTGAAAACTATTAGCAAACCCCCTCCCCTTCCCCCAGGGGGTAATCTACGTTCAGCAATAACGAGTTAAAGGCTGATATGATAATGATGATGATAATGATGATTCCACTTTTTAAACCGAAACATAGCCATACAAACAGTACTGCTTCACTCAGAAACACAAATGAGAATAAACGTACCCAAGCAGATGACTTTTATACAAAGTCCCCCTCTAATGAGAAGGATCTTACTCAGGGTTTATACATATATATAATCGTTTAAAACTATACCTATATTTTTTTTATTCAAAGTGAAAAATAAAAGCTATTCATTATTTGTTTACAACCACAAACAGCGCCTATACTGCGTAATAAATACACCCATTAGCAGACAAGGTGCCGCGAAGGCACTGGGTTTTTAAAAGAATTAATTAGCTGAAAATGGCAACAAAACCTATATTTCATTTTTTTAGGTTCCACTTTATTCTATTCTAGCAATACTAATGAAAATTTGTGACGAGCCGTATAGACAAATAAATATGGTCGCGTTTATGCCAAAAACTAAATCCTATCTTTTTCAAGGCTGTGTTATGTATGTAGGTATAAATGGTTCCATTAGTATCTAATGCAGTTTTCAATTGATTAATTGAACTAGTGCAAGGAATAAACACACTATTATCACAGCGTAAGTAATAATACACAGACAGATGTTGGAGTTATATATATGTATAGATAATCATTTACGTAAGAATCTCCACCATCCATATAGCGTCAGGAACATTGTATTATATTTCATATAAACATACTGGTTAAACGATGTTGATATTTCATTGCAAACAGAAGCCCAGTAACGACGTGCACTTTGCACAATAGTCAATAATGCCACTTCACGAACATTATCACAAATGCAACTGGCATTTTATTCAAAGATGAGTGACGCGCAGACCACCGCACCACTCATAAATGCACTTTTCTCCTGGGAGGACTATTCATACGGAGATTAACAAAGCCCTTGCTTTCGCAATGAAAAACTATAAATGTGAGAGGGAATCGTACTTTAAAAACAACAGCTACACAAAGCCAGTATCCTAGTAATGAGTTATTCAAAATGTTTTATCTTTGTCATCATAAATTTCAGTTTTAAATGTAAAAGTATGTAAAGTATGTAGTAGCATTTCAGTGCCATAAATCATAAGAAATCGGATCAACTATTTTTCTCAAGACAAAGCACTCAAATACATTGACTATTTCCTCTGTTTCGGACCCAGTATACTAAATAAATACCAAGATTACATAACTTTGTATATATTTAATTACTAAATTAACTACTCGAAATACTTACCTATTTAAAACATTTAAAAATATTAAGGTAGTTATCATATTTATTATTCCCTCATAATGCACTGAGCAGTTTTGTTGAAGTTAGGTTGCGAGAACGTTGAACTCAGATGAAACAGCGGAAAACTATTGAATCAAACTGGGGAGCAAAACAAAACTGTTACTGAAAGCAAATTCCACAGCCCTCCGCCTGCTCCTCGAGCCAGGCGAAATATTTAGAACTATTTAGGGTTGGCAAAGCATTGTCCTATTTTTATGTTTTTGCGTATCTGATTGAATATCTTCTAAATAAATAAATCAATCAGGTTTCATCAAATCTATAAAAATAATAGTTTTTTTTTAACTACTTAGAATGGCAAACATGCTGACGGCCCATCTGATGGAAAGTGGTAACCGTCGCCTATAGACATGAGCAATACCATGGACATAACAGAGTTACTGTTTCGCCCATGATATCTCCCATGCGTTGCCATTCCTGAGGACTCAGGTGTTATTCCTCTGTACCCTGTAAATTCACGCCATATCCCACCTTTCAAACCAAAACACAGCCATGCAAATACAACTGCTTTATGGTTGAAACACGAATGGGAGGGGGAAAGGGATTGTTAGTAATGGAGACTGAGAATCACATTGCTAGCAATATACCCAACCAGGTCGACCTCCTCCCGGTTCTCCCTGGAAACTAATCCTGATGAATTCATCATGATGGGCTAACTGGCCCGTTTTCATTCTTATCTATCACCCTTCACTGGTGCTCCGCCAGCGTATCCCGTTAGCGGAGGCGGGGTTATAATACCATTTTCACCCATAAAAAAAAAACACGAATGGGACAGAGGTACCCAAGCAATCGATTTATAACAAATAAAGGTTTTCTTCATGTCTATTAAATATATGAATCTAAAAGATTTTATTTTACATAGAATAACAGTCTAAGTGTCATCCTTAGCAATGCAGAACACGGTTATGTAAAAAACGACAGTAATTCCACGAGAGACTTCGGATTAAAACCACTAACCAATGAATTAATTTTATATTCTACTATACTTGGGATAATTAATAAACTGCCTTGATATATTTTTATATGCACTTTTTTCGTCCAAGCAAGGATAATGAACTCTTAATAATACCCTACTCGGACAGATAACCAGTATATCAATAGTCGTATGGGGACTATTTTTTTCAATCGGTGACAATTGAATGGTAACTCCACCTACACTAACGTATCAGTGAGAGATGAGAGGTACTCAATCGACTTTTGTACAAAGTCTCCATCTAGTTGTATTCAAATTTTTATCTCTCTGGTTCTTTTTTTATATCACTGAGGTGGCAAACAAGCATACGGCGTACCTGATAGTAAACGATTACCGTAGCCTATGAACGACTGCAATACCAGGTGCATTACGGGAGCGTTTTATTTCTAGCAATAGAGCCGATAGTCCCCATTACTAAAAAGCCGTCCCGAGAGAAATCAGTTATTAGATTGTTAGAGAGTGTGAAATAAGACCTGTTCATTTACCATCAGGTCAGCAGTACATTATGCTTGATTGCTACTCTAGTTGCCTAAAAAAATGTGATATAATATCTTTTTCGCCTTAGTATTTTTAAACCTTTTTTTATAATACAGTGAGGCAAATAAAAACGCGGCTCACCTGATAGTAACTACCGCCACCCATGAACAGAAACTACAACACCACAGGAACTGCAGTCTCGTATTACTTAAACTATTTACAATATCCTAGTTCACTGTCACTTTTCGCACTCTCTGTCCACCTTTGGAATATATAAAAGATCGGCGGCCTTACTCTTAAATTAATATTTCCAAAAATATATAAAGGGCCCCCCCCCCCTTCCCACGAGTATTGTTAAAGATTAAATAAGTGACAACGAAATGGTAAACCGACTCTTGCTATCGGTTTCAATTAATTAGGTAACAGTGAAAGATATGTTAAGAAGGCAGGGCACTCAGCTCGTAACAAATTCATCAGGAATTAAGAGCGTTCATAATATTCGAAATCCAAATTTTAAGTGACAGCTTAATAAGAATATTATCGTATGATTAACGTTTTCATTCGCTAACAGAGCACTTTTTAAATAATCATTTAGAAACATTGAAAAAATGTTTAGTTGATTTTGAAAAGCGACAGGCAATTGCGAACTGGCCACATTTCAATAAGCAAAAGTTATGAATGCTTTCAACCATGATAGTTTCCAGAGATAGGGTGTATTGCTAACAATGGGCCCGCTAGTTTTTACCCTTCGCTAAAGTTTTAGGTTTGCCCATAGGAAATTGTTACATTTTACCAAAACAGGCCCACTTTTTCTACTAAAATTTAACATTTTTTTAATTTATCCTTTAATTTGCAATATAACATATGCAGCGGGAACTATAATAAAGGACTAAACATTTTTAAGCATGAATTATTTACATTTTACTATTTGTTGATCAAGAATTTCATTACTTTGATTTTGTCATTACATATACATAGCATGATTATATTTTCGAAGTTTTAACAATCAGTTTTGGAGGTATTTTCTTATACCACTTTTACGATGAAATTCTCCAATTCATTTATGACCGAAAGTTTTATAAAATCCACTGTGGTATACGGGTCGAATTGTTCACATAGTTGAAATTAATAGTATTAATTTTCTATTTACGTTCTCAAATTAATTTTCCTAAAAAACAAGAGGCATCAAAGGCAACATATTCCCAAGCATCCAAAATTATTTTATTTCTCGTAATTTCCAAAAGTAACTGTTGAGTTTCTTCTCAATAGATAACATTCTTCCGAACTCTGAAGTAGATTTTAATCAAGTGACAATTTAAAAGAGCTTGTAAACAAATCTATTTGAATAAAAATTTTTATAATTACGTTATTTCCTTGTTATAAGAGGGCTTATAAGGAGTTGATATTTTTTATGAATAACCGGTGAGTTTATCATTCGATGTCTGATTAGAAGAAATTGGTATTTAATATGTAAATCAGAGAAAAATTGAATTATGATTAAATTTTTAATTGTTCTTGATAATTATTTAGAACAGTTAGTACTTAACAATAAATTTCTTAAAAAAAAAAAATTTTAGAAAGAAAGATTTAGTTAGCTACTTTTCACACATCATTTCTACAATCAATGGAAATATGAATTTGTAATGCAAATACTGAATTCAAACTTTTATGTTTAAAAAAAGATATTTTTTTGTTTAGATTTGCTCTTTTACAATAGTGAGCCTTGGCTCCATAATTTTGTTAATTTTAAACTTTCGCCTTATTGACACATATTTTAAATACACTGTAAGGGACTTAGGATTGGAGGTAAATTATACCTACATTGATTTTTATTGCCCACATTTCGATGTGGACTGGACTACGTCGTGAGCATGACCAATAATAAAATAATAAAATTTAATAGATTTTTTAATTTCTCTACTTATAGAAAAATAGGCCTAGATTTATATCAGCATACAAAAAGTACACTGACATGTTCCAAAGTAAAAGTTAATTTATTGTAAATATGAAATCCCGTATCCAGGCGCAACTTTTAATTTGTAATAACATTTTGGTTTCGTTTCGACATGTTTATCCACACACATCACCGATTTGTTGAAAAATACTGCAAAATTTTACTAACTGCATATTAGTGGCATTTTTTGTCTCCTACTGTAGATTCTAAATTTTTGTATATAGGTGCTTAGCAACACACGTGCTGAACATTACAATCGGCAAGTGACTGTCTATACAAATATCACAGGAACAAGACGACAAGATGTTGCGAGAAGGACAGAACGAGTAACACCGCTAGCTAATGGACGTCGGGCGGGAAAGAGACAGCGCCACTGCGGTTAGAGTAGGATGAAGTAATGCTTGCCTATAAATTGCGGAGAATTCTGTAAATAAATCAGTCTAAACTTATCGGCCTTTCCCTTCACATCTACTAATAGTGCGACCCCAACAGTGGTGACCCACCGACGACCATAAGCGAGATCCAGTCTCAATATGGAAGAACATCAAGAACAGAAACTTGACATGAACGCTGTATCCATACAGTCAAGATTATTACCATTTTGGAGGGATATTCCACGGGCTTGGTTCATCCAATTTGAAGCCGTCGTAGACCCATTAAAGACATCCGATGACCAAAAATGGCGCTATGTACTACAGCAACTTCAATCTCAAGATCTGCAACACCTAACAGACATCCTTTATCATCCACCAGAGAAGGACAAGTACGCAGCACTGAAGAACCGGCTACTTGCAGTTTACGACAAATCTGACGTCAGAAACTTCCAGCAACTTATCAGTGGGTTAGAACTTGGCGATCAGAAACCCTCACAACTCCTTAGAAAGATGAGAGAGCTCGGAACCGGAATGATAACCGAAGAAGGTCTCAAGATTGAATGGTTAAACCATCTACCAGCCCAAGTGCGCGTAGTACTATCTATCAACACCGAATCGGCGTTAGACACGCTGTCCGCTATGGCCGACAAAATGGTTGAATACACCGGGTCCACTGCAGTCAACGAAGTCTCCAGAAATGGACCATCAGCAACACAACTCGACGTCTTCGCTCTTCAGATCGAAAAACTTACATTAGAAGTGGCAGAACTACGCGAACGTTCACGCGACCCAAACGCGAGACGGCAATACTATCGCTATCCCGCTCGCTCGCGCTCCCAGTCTCGACCACGTAGAAGAGATACGACTCCGAAACCAGGCAGAGAAGACACGTGGGAATGCAAATACCACTACAGATTTGGTGACAAAGCAAAACGATGTGAATCACCGTGTTGTAGAAGAAAGAAAACCACCACATCTTTAAACTAACTCCGACACCGACCGTAGCGGACGTCGGTGTCATCAACACTAACAACCGCCTATGTGTACACGATTACGACACACACGAACGCTTCCTCGTGGACACAGGCGCTGATATATCAATATTAGCAGCAACAAACAAGAGAAAACGTCAGCAATCGAAAGCGCCTTACAGACTTTACGCAGCAAATAATACGCCAATCAACACTTACGGCGAAAAAACTATTAAACTTAATCTTGGACTCAGACGCTGTTTTCAATGGAATTTCGTCATCGCTGATATCAAGACATCGATACTGGGCGCCGATTTCCTACGACATTTCAAACTTCTAGTAGACCTACATAACAAAAAACTCATAGACAAGACCACTGAACTGTCTATCAATGCACTACAAATCACAAGTAATTCTGAGTCATCAATCCACATAGTCAGCAACGATCAAGCCTATCGAGACATCATCAAGCAATATCCAGACGTACTACGGCAACAACCACTCAAACAATATGCGAAACATAACGTCGTTCACCGGATAGAAACTAACGGTTCCCCCCTGCACGCCCGCCCCCGCCCCCTACCGCCAGATAAATACAAATTGGTGAAAGAAGAGTTTTGTGCGAGATGGGCATCTGTAAACCGTCAAAAAGCCCATGGGCTAGTCCACTCCACGTAGTGAAGAAAAAAGATGGCACACTACGGGTTTGCGGGGACTACAGAAGATTAAATGCTGTAACATTACCCGATCGCTACCCAATACCTCGAATTCAAGAATTCACTTATCAATTGAATGGCAAGAAAATTTTCTCCAAATTAGATCTGAAAACAGCATACTACTCCATACCTACAGCTGAAGATGCAGAAAAGACGGCCATCATTACACCATTTGGCCTCTTTGAGTTTAACGTCATGCCGTTTGGATTACGAAACGCAAGTCAGACATTCCAGCGTTTCATGCACGAGGTCCTAAACAACATACAAGACTGTTTTTGTTTCGTCGACGACATTCTTCTATCATCCGAAGATGAGACATCACATAAAGAACTCATTCATCAAGTTCTCGCAAGACTCGACGAGTATGGAGTAACATTAAACATCGACAAGTGTGAATTCGCTAAGAAAAAATCAATTTCCTTGGTTACGAGGTATCGGCAAATGGAATTAAACCTACAGAAGAACGAGTAGAAGCCATATCCACGTACCCAAAGCCGAAGAACATCATCGAACTCAATTATTTAGGCATGTTAAACTTTTATCGTAACTGCCTTCCACAACAAGCAGAACTACAGAGCGAACTCAACAAGTATCTCCATAATCAGAAGAAAAATGACAAGACACCAATCAACTGGACGCCTGAGGCAGCAACTGCATTTGAAAATTGCCGCCAAAGCATTTTACGTGCCGCAACACTAGCCTACCCAATCCAAAACAGCAAGCTCAGCATCATGACCGACGCCTCCGATCACAGTGTCGGCGCAGTATTACAACAAAATGTCAAGGGAACCATTCGACCACTGGCATTTTTCTCGAAGACGATGAGTCCAACGCAACGCCGCTACAGCGTCTACGATCGAGAGCTACTAGCGATGTACTCAGCTGTAAAACACTTTCGTCAATGGATAGAAGGCGGTGATGTAACGATATACACAGATCATAAACCACTCTCGTATGCGCTTACAAGAACTATCAACAGCAGCGACACACCGCGGCGGGAACGACAACTACATTTCATTAGCCAGTTTTGCTCAAAAATACTATACATAAAAGGAGAAGAGAATTGGCCGACGCTATGTCACGAATAGAAGAAATCAATTGTCCATCAACCATCGATTTCAACAAACTAGCATACGACCAACAAGAAAATGAGGAATTAAAACAAATTCGAAAAAAACCCAATCTAAAATTCTCCGAAATTGCTCTACCTGGGATGAATCAACCAATCATATGCGAGACCTCCACTGCATCGCCAAGACCGTACCTACCTAAACAATATCGTTTTGTTGCATTCAAAGCTCAACACGATCTGTGTCATCCAGGGATACGAGCGACAAGAAAAATCATGAGTATGAAATACTTCTGGCCGGGAATGAATCACGACGTGGGAACATGGACGAAGACATGCATCAACTGTCAACAATCACAGATACATCGGCACGAAGTGACTCCGCACAACGAATTTTCTTCGTCACAACGATTCGAACATATTCACATCGACATAGTCGGACCAATGCGACTGTCACGTGACTGCCGATACTGTATCACCATCATCGACCGTTGTTTTTCCTGTTTCCGACATCACAGCAGAAGTTGTCGCAAAAGCACTGTATGATAACTGGATCGCACGATTCGGATGCCCGCTCCGCATATCCACAGATCAAGGTCGACAGTTCGAGTCATGTCTCTTCACTGCATTAATGAAGAAACTGGGCATTACAAGAATACGTACAACGGCGTTCCACCCACAATCAAATGGACAGATCGAAAGATGGCATCGTACAATGAAAGCTGCACTTATGGCTCGACAAGCATCAACGCAGTGGGTAGACGAGTTACCTACTGTGCTATTAGGACTACGAACTGCGCTTCGAGCGGACAATGCCCTAAATCCCGCACTCATGACCTACGGCACAACGCTGCGTGTTCCATCCGACTTTTTCGTGCCCACAGAGTCAAAAATCAGCGATGCAGACTTCATGCGTCAGCTAACCAAGACAATGGCAACATTGAAACCAGTATAAAATTCCAACCGCTCGCAAGAAAAACCATTCGTCTATAAGGATTTAGCTACGTGCACACACGTCTTTGTACGAAACGACACCGTACGGGCACCGTTAACACCACCTTACGACGGCCCGTACAAAGTATTACAGCGCTACGACAAGTATTACAAGATACAGCTACCATTACGCACGAGCGTTGTATCATTAGACCGCCTCAAGCCCGCCTACATTTATGAAGACTCGGACGACTCCACAGCTTCAAACACGACGAGTACGAGTACTACTGCTATACCTGTTCTTGTTTCAACACAGCCTCAGCGACCATACATCACAAGATATGGCAGGAGCGTCAAGCCAAATGTACACTTCGCTACAGGGGGAGTCATATAGGTGCTTAGCAACACACGTGCTGAACATTACAATCGGCAAGTGACTGTCTATACAAATATCACAGGAACAAGACGACAAGATGTTGCGAGAAGGACAGAACACACAGCTAATGGACGTCGGGCGGGAAAGAGACAGCGCCACTGCGGTTAGAGTAGGATGAAAATGCTTGCCTATAAATTGCGGAGAATTCTGTAAATAAATCAGTCTAAACTTATCGGCCTTTCCCTTCACATCTACTAATAGTGCGACCCCAACATGTATAATGGCAGTTTTATATAAGAAAAGACATCAATATTTTTAATTTTTTTAATATGGATAACTTATATAATATGCAAGGGATAGTCCCAAGTTTTATTTTTATTTTTTTTTCTCTAGTGATAAAAGGATGAAACCATTCATAAATGGAGAATCACATTTTATCACTCGCTCAATAAATACAGTCAACAGTAAGCATAATCTTAAACAATTTTAATCTGTAAATGATACTTAGTCATTTTACAACTGCGGATATTAACTGACAAAGTTTTCAAAACTAAAAAGTACGTCTACGGGAGCCGAGCTCGCCGTCGGGACACAGGGGATCCACGTACAGAGTGTAAGCTTCAGCCAGTGCTCAAACTGGAAAATCCGAATCGTTACGCGAAAACATGAACGATACTGTGATCATCACTACTCCATATATCTATTTATAGTATATATAAAATATTCTATACAACTAGAAATTGCAAATAAGATAACGGACAATACATAAAAATACACAGGGTAATTGTCACGCACTGCAATCTTTGAGGATTAGTGTGTTATACTTTTTTCCTGTGTCTCGACAATTGTAAATGAAAAATTTCATAGTGTAAGTATAAATAATTATAAAGTAAAACTCGCCAGTAGGTCGTCAATTTCAACCGACTTCAAAAAGATGGAGGTTCTCAATTTGGTTGTCTTTTTTATGTTTGTTACCTCGTAACTCCGACAGTTCCAAAGTGATTTGGAAAATTCTTTTCTTATCTGAATGGATATACTTACAGATTGGTCCCATAGAAATTTTATTAAAATCGGGTCAGTAGTTAATTTTTAGACCAAAATTAACTTTAACTGGTTTTGTCACAATTGAAGTCGGTTTTTCTTGTGGGACACAATCTTCAATTATTATGATAATACCACAATATCATAGTCTAAACTAATATTATATAAAGAGGAAAGATTTGTTTTAAAACAGGAAGGGACAACCCCAACGACAACATTGTACCAAGTGTCTCTGTGGTAGGTAGTTCATGTTATCATGTTTCTATGTAACGATTAACATTTTCGAGATCGACCACTGACTGACGACAGCTTACTCTGTACGTAGGGCGCGTGTGGTCGGAGGCCGGTAGCCGCGGGGGGCGAGGCGGCCGGCGAGACGCCGCCGGAGACCGCGCCGTCGACGCCGCACTGGGCACTATGTACACGGGCGCGGCCGGGCCGGGCGGCGGCGGCGCGGCTAGGACGACGAGCCCGCGCCGAAGATGTTCGCGCTGAACGCCACCGGCGCTGCTGCCGCCGCCGCCGCCGCCGGTGCGCCCGCACCGCGCGGTTTCGGCATCGGCGGCTGTAGGTACTCGTGTCGCGCTAGCCCGAACACGTCGATTCGCTCCTCCTTGCGGTACGCCAAGCACGCTCGGATGAAGCTCTGTCAATACAATTGTTCATAAGATTTTCTTTTACAAAAAGAAAGTGGCATTCATACATATCTAAATAGAAGATATGAAATAATGTCTAGCATTTTGAATGAGAACCGGATATCGCCGCTAATCGTCATATAATATCGACACAAATTGGGTTCCGTCGCCCACGCCATTGTAATTACTACAAAATGCTAATTCGTGGCATTTTTTATTATATTTACAAATTTAGACTTTTTAACCGTTTAGTGCCATTGATTTTTACTCATATCTACCTAAAAATAACAAAAAAATCTTTGTCGTGTTGATGTCATTTACCCTAGTCTCTAAAAAAACTGTATCTCCTTCAAAAATTTTCCCATTTTAATCATTTTTCTACAGCGAGCTAAACAGTGTCACTTTTAGTTCTAATGCGCGCGAACGCGACGGTGCTTGTCGGCACTCAAACGGTTAATATTATCAAGTTTAGGTAGGTTCTGAATCTAAGTTTAGACAAATTTTAATATCGAAAAAGTTCGACTCAAACTTAAATATAGATAAATGTATCGAATGCTAATACGCCAATAACTAAGCTGGATTCTAGAATTATGACATTTAAATATGGAATATTTGTAAAATTAAGCTAGAATCCAAAATAACATTTCAAATTTACAAGTAAAAATTATTGTTTTATAAGTTTTGTACAGAAACAAGTTTATGCACACTTTCACAGGTATGACAGGCATATTGAAAATGTTGCAAAGCTTCTTCAACGACCAACACGGATAATAGCTAGCGCGTGTATGTGAAAGGATCGGTCATTTAGCTCCTACATAAGCGCCAAGTGTCACGCGTAGATGACTAATCTATATTTTATTTATAATGGCATCAATGTTCATAAAATTAATATGGGACCAAAACCAGTTAAAAAAGAATCATTACAATCAGTGAGAATCCTACACAAGAAAATATCACCGTTATTAAAATTAAAAATTTACAGAAATTATGGTTAAACCTGTTGCAAACAGTTGGGACAGAAATAATGGATATACAAATCTACTCAATCCACACAAAAAGCGCCAAAAACAAATGGCAACACAATCAGTACATTCATCAATATAATTTTTCAAACTCCCCTTTTCATTGTATTTCATATCCAAAAAATTATAGAAATGACATAATCTATAAATTCACGACACGTTCCATAGAAGCATAAAATTAACTTTTAATACACAGTAGTGTACAGAAGCTGCCCACCTTGTCATTGTTTTAATGCACTCGTTATGTCGATGGATACAATATTCTTGTAACAAATGACATAAAATCTTTATTCATACCTTAGCCTCGTTACTGACAGTGGGTTTATTGGCGAACTGCACGTCGGTCGCCTTGAGTATAGTATTTTCTTCGAGTATGGTGGCTTGACTCTGGTTGTGGCCGAAGGGCTTCTTGCCATATAGACATTGGTAGAAGATCACGCCCACACTCCAAACGTCCACCTTACTACTGATCTTTGGTGGGTTCTTGCCGACAACAAAACACTCTGGTGGTAGATACCTGTAGAGATTACAAAACATTAATTATAAAATATATCGTTACTAATATTATCAATGTGAAAGTGTGTTTGTTAGCGCCGTTAAGATGTAACAAACAATCAAACGAACGAGGTACAAGGGATGTATAAGGATGTAGGTTATTTTATAATCTGAGGGCCTACCATGAAATATTTTTCGAAATTTCGGGGACAAACGAAATAGAACTTTGATGTTAAAATTACATCATACATGACGTTTAAAATTATTAAAAATGTTAAAATATCGTTCCTCTGGACTATTAGGATAGGATTTATGATAAACGAAATGTTAAGCTCCATTTACTGGGTCGATTTCGGTACGAACAAAAACACAAAATTGAGCCCGAAAATTCGGAATTTCATTTCATGGTAGACCACCAAGTCAGTGAATGTATCCTGGTCATATGGACGAAATCGCGGGTAAAAGCTAATATCAAATAAAGAATGAATTTATAAATAACTAACTCTATATATAGCCTATTCTTTCTTTTTGTTCTTAATTCTGACTTATTTCTGTCTTTTTAATTTCTTGTTAAAAAAAATCGGTACAATTAACATAATTTAAACGAATTATAATTTTACATCCACTGTTTGGCCAGGTTTTCTCCCTTCTATTGTACTGTTTTTTTCTTAACATACATCAGATAAGCTTTTGTTTGCTTTTATGGTATAAAAAAATTAGTTTTAATAAATGGATATGGCATTCAACAAACATTCTATTCATATAAAATTTAAATTAGTTATTATGATAACTAAACTTTCTAACTAAATATACCTAGTATGATAAAACAAATTCTAATTAAGAAAAATAAGAAACTATACATCACAGTATACATACCAGTAAGTGCCAGCGCCTTGACTCGTGAGATCCATTCCATGGTCAGGATTATAGTTCTCCTCGTCCATCACCTTAGAAAGGCCGAAGTCAGTGATTTTAATCTCGCCACACACGTTGCCCTCCGTCAGCAATATGTTGCCAGGCTTCAGATCGTAGTGTATCACCGGTGGCTTTATCTCGTTCAAGTACTTGAGAGCAGACACCACTTGCATCACGATTGATCGAGCCTCGCGCTCCGGGATCGTTTTATGCTGCAAAGTTGATGTATAACGTATTAATAAATTTATAATGTAAAAATAAAAGTTCAGCAAATGAAATTTGAAGAATTTTCAATTGAAATTTTCATTAAATTTTTAAAATTATAAAATAGTAATTTGGACTAAACAGTGTTGTGGTAAATTATTTAAAATACAGTTTCATTTTATCTAATTTATATGAACTGTGTAATTAAATTTATACACCACTATAAATTTTGTATATTTTAAACATAATAATACATGTTTTTTATCAATAATTATTTAATATTTTTTTATACAAATACACACAATTGTTATTGAACCAATTAATTGAGCTTGTTAGAGTTTAAATAATTGAATATAACTCACGTCTGAATACTATCTTTAGCATAAATAATACCTATTATTTTATTCCTTAAAGGAGCAAGCTCATGACACTCGGGTAAACATAAAATTAGATTATTCAGTTTATACAATATTACCTGCTTGAGATAAAAATCGAGATCATGTCCATTGCAGTATTCTAGAACTGTACAAAAAGAATTGCCATCAATTTCAAAAACATCATATAATTTCACAATCCGTGGATGGTCGAGTGCTTTATGTATGTTGTACTCCCGTAACGCGTGTCTGTAATGAATAAAACATAACAATAAGTCATTGGTACGGAAAAAACTTACTGACACTACACTGCAAATTGAGTGAATACAACTATACACTAATTTCTAGAGCCAGTAAAGTTTGTATAAAATATGCATAAATTTTGTAAACTATAATAATGATATATTTGTAAACGTGATATTTACGGCAGAAAGTCTTATCAGAAATATTAATATAATTAATTAATACATTTTATTCATGGATATTTTAGATAAATAATATACTCGTCACCACTCAAGGCTAGAATGGTACTCTAGTCTCTTCTAGGAGTACATATTTTTCATTTTAATTATTAACAAAAATAGAGAACAACGGAAGCCTACCCCAAAGGTAATATGATAAAGCAAGGCCGAGAGAGAGAGAGAGAGAGAGAGAGAGAGATAATTAATAAACAACAATAAAGCTATTTATTTTTAGAGAACACAAATTTGACCCAGTCATAAGTGTAATTATTGTACAGTAACAAGAATCATGTTTTTTTTTCTTATATATCGATGCTATAAATATCACAAATATTAGCCAGTCTACTCATGTGACTAACTTGTTTACATGTTGTTTACCAAGTCGAAACTTGAGTAGATAGATATAAATACATTACAATGCGTATCAGTGGCTGCAGGCTGCGTATTAACAATGTACAAGGTCACCCATACATAACATACATAATAAAAATAAACACCTAATATAGTAGGTAACTAAAGCTCTGTATAGACATGAAATCCTTTTTAGGCAAAGATACTGCACTGTTTTGCGCTAACCTTGTACTAAATGGTCTTGTTTATGCCTATAGGCGACGTTTACCACTTTCCATCACATGAACCGCCAGCTTGTTTGATAAAATATTCCTAATTGTTCCAAAATTAATTTTATTAGCTATTCTAGTGACTTTAAAATTGTCTTTGAAATTGTGTTTTTTTTTTCATATCACATTCCATTAAGAGAATCAGTGTTAGCTTTTTTAAATCTTAAATACGAAAGAAAGCAATTTTTTAAACAATTGCACAGTTGATTTTCCAATAAGTAAATAAGTAATAAATAGTTATGGGAAAGTCAATCATTACGTTCAATATACAGTTAACAAAATGCCTTTACTGACCTATTCGATATGCATATTATCATGTTTAGATAATTTAAACAAAAATCATATCTTTCCATTCATAATGTGAACACTTTTGTCGCTTAAACATCGGTAATTAATCGTAAAAGAAATGTGATAAGATAAAACAAATTGAACAAACAATTTAACATTCTAGCAAACAAAGACAGAAAATTAACATGACACGCAATGCACATAAATGATTAAATTAAATGCAAATCATATATCAAATATAAATAATACTTATTACATACAAACAATGGTAACTCTATTATCGACAAGAAACACTTTACTGTGACCTATGAATCCCCATATCAAATTATGGGTAAACCCAAATCTCTCAATCTTTCAAATTCATATAATGATTATTCAAAATTTATTATACCTCATTTTATTGTTCAGAAGACATGAAAAGTAAAAGCAACTAACTTAAATAGCTTATGTAAAAACAGTTTACATCAGTCTTGCCCTTTTATTCTTAAAAACGTCAAACATAATTTATATGTATACTTCTATTTTAGTTAGTTTTCATTTTAGTGTTTTAGCTTTTTCTTTAATATCAAATTATGAACTTGCAAGAAAATGAAAAAACTCGGTTATAAATAGGTACAAATCGGTTACAAATTCTGGGTAACAAAGGGCGCCTTAGATAATTATTAGTAGAAGAAGTAATCCATATTTATAGTGATAGAGCAAGAACATAATTTATTATTTCACCACTTCTTTTCATACCAAGGATGTCATCGTAAATGGTGACTAAAGGTGTAAAGAACAATGTTTTGTAAAGTACCATTATAGACTCCTGGCCATAGTTTCTAGTAATTAGGAATGAGATACTCATCTTCTACTTTACAGATAACTTTATGCCTATACTTTATGCTGCTGCTATACTTTTTATATTTAATACTAAACAACTACATTACACTTAATATAATGTGTCGTCGTACGGACTCACTTGATATAGTTGGCTTTCTTGTCTTCTTTCCAGTCTTTGTTCAACTGGTGCACTTTACAGGCGGTGTAACGTTGCTCGCGCAAGTCAAACGCCTTGTGCACCTCACTAAATCCACCTTTCCCAAGCAGCATCAGTAACAGATACCTGAGTAGATATTATTATTATTTTAATAAAACTGTTAATACAGAAGTTTGACATAATCAGCAATTTAGAGAAAATTGTTGACTACCTATTCAATTATTTAATTATTTATACTTTTGCACACTTTAAAAATGTATACAGGTTGCCTGATAGTATTCTCTACCAATCAACTGTTATGTCGGACAGAGAAAGAGAGTAAATGGTGATGCATTGAGCAAACAAAAACATCAATTATATCTATACTTATAATAAATCTGTAGAGGTCAATTCTGTACATGAAATATATTTCCAAAACAACTATCAGGGTGATTAGTGATCAATACTGATGCCAAAAATGCAATCAGTTAAATTCTTGTCTGTCTGTCTGTATGTTCGTTATAGAAACTAAAACTCCTCGACGGATTTTCACGAAACTTGGTATAATTATTCTTTATACTCCTGGGCAGGTTATAGTATACTTTTCATCACGCTACGATCAATAGGAGCAGAGCAGGGAAGGGAAATGTTGAGAAAACAGAAGTTACTGCATTTTTATTTCGTGTGCATTATTTTTAAAATGTAATAATGTCCACCCGTGCGACGCTGGGATGGGCCGCTAGTCAATAATAAATAAATATATCCTAAAAAATAGGAATGTATCCCGTCAATTCGACCAGTATGTGATCCTCCTGGAAACCATCATAGTCATAATGACTTCGTCATGGTTTGCAAAGGGAGCTATCTTCATCTATTAATTAGTAGATCATTGAGAATCACAGGTATCATACCATTACGCAAAAGGGATTACCATTTAATTTTGACCTTTTAAAAACATCTGCATTTTATGTCAATATTCCAAATCAAATTTTTGAGTGATTGTTTTAAATGAGTTTTGATTTATTGATCAAGTTTTTATTTACTATCAAATACCCTAATTTCAGTGGTAATTTAATAAAAATTTTATAGCACGGTTAACATTTCAATTTGTTATTATTAAGTACATAAAAACATAACCGACCTATATAGGTCTGTTAAGTTTTTCTGCTGTGAAACAACGAAGTACAGTTGTTTTTTTATGGTCTAGTTTTGTTTCTCTTCATGAACCACGACGCTCTGACGTTAAGTGAGATTGTCCTCATAGACAAGAGACAATTGACAGAAACATTTTCACTGTCACAATGATGATAACAATATCTGACGTTTTGTTCTTCCAAATGCGATTGGTAATAAATTTGTATTGATTAATACATTCATTTAATACTTTACAGGCGAGGCTGTTGAGAATACTAGTGGAATTGAAACCTGTATGTGATTTCACAGAAATAAACAGCCTACTGCTCTTCGCTTTTTACTTAGGTATTTGCAAGTCTATGACAATATAGACAACAATAAATAGTTTGTTTTTGTTGCAAGATTAAAAAAAAGTATGAACTGTTCTAATTTAAATGAATGTATTTATAATTAAATAATATTGTAAACAATAACTTACCGATCAGAGAGCACAGGATGTTGTGAAAACCGACTCTGATCCTCATTATGTATCCGTTTTAATTCTCGAATGTGAAGATTTCTTTCCCGTTCTAACTTTTCCATCTCTAGCTGCAAATCCGCGTCTTCCTTTTTTAATGCACTTTGTCGTAACTGTAACAAAAAGCATGGAGGAATTCTAAAATATTTCCAAATGTATAACGATACATTTTATAACACTATTATCACAATTTTTAGAAACAAGTTTTCCTGTTCATTGTAATAGTAATGTTATGATGTGCGAAATGACAATACCGGATTATTTGAAATATGACGTGTTTCCCGTATGACGTTAAAGGAAATCCAAACTAAAACTGAAGACTAGTAATGGCCGAAAGTAATTTGCTTTCGAAATATTTTCCAAAATCTCACCGATTATATAATACTCCTACCAGATCATATAGGGCATGCTATAGAAAGATTGACGTTTTGGGACCTTTGTACACAAATGTTAGCGTCGATACATTAAACAACGAAAAACTATTCAAAAATATCTATTCTGCGAAAGATTAGGGCTGGAGGGGGACGACATTTTGGTGCCACAAAGTTATCATTGTAAAAATGCAAAGAATTTTTGTTTTATGCAAGTGAAAAAGACAAATTGACGGTCCATCTGAGGCCAATTAGTAACAATCGCCTACAGGACATATAACACCATGAGCTTCCAACAATACACTGTGAAAGATGTTACAGACGATGGGGAGGGAATTACAAAAGCAAAGCCAACCTTTAGTATCTCGTCTGCTTCGTAATACTCCTGCCATGTCATACTAGGCAGGGGGTCAGGTTTGAGGAAGGTAGGAGCGTCTGTGCCGTTGTGTAAAGGCGGTGGCTGCGGTGTGGTGGGTGCGGAGGCGGACGCGCTCGACGTCCGCTTGCCGCGCCCGCCTCCGCCCTCGCTGTTAGACGGCCGCTTCTTGAACAGTAACTTCTTTTGGCGGTCGATCTCTTCTTTTTCAGCGGTTATCTCCTCTTGCCGCCTGATCGAGTTTTAAATTACTTGATGCAAATCCATATGCATTAAATTATAGTTACATAATTTCAATAAGTAATACAATATTCTATACAATTTTCTTAGGAATAAATCGCCCATAATATGCATATGTACCTATGTATTATTCAGAAAACAAAACAATTGATTAACAATTAACACAAGGAACCTTTAAGAAAAGAACATATAAATTATATATCTATATAAGTATATACCTAAATCTACCTTTTAGGTTAGTACATGCTCTTTTCTTAAAGGGTTCAAACATCGTATCAGCATGGATATACCGTAAGAACACATTAATGTAAATCAATATTGTGTTCACAAATGTATTTATTGTTTATTAATAAGAATAGTTATATAATACCTTGTGAGTTCTTGAAATGCATATCCATCAGTCCAATTCTCCTGGAAGGTGGCTCCGACACGCTGCGTGACGAACTGGCCAAGCCTTAGCCGGTTCTGCATACACCGCTGCCGTGCTTCCTTCTTTTCTATAGTACTTTTCTCATTCAACAACTTCTTTACAACTTCTATACACTTATTTATGTGTGATTTGTGTTGCTCTATAACCTGAAATAATATGATCGATTTACAATAAACCTTTTTAGTATACATATTTATAAATTATAGCATAATGGTACCATACTTCAGAAAGAAATTATCACTATTTATAGTTTGAGTGACTGTGGTAAGCTCGCTTTGTTGAATACAAATATGCTTAGTGAAATATGACCATGTTGAGTATCACATTCCCCACAACAATAACAGTCGAGAAATGTTTCTGACCATTAAATTTGGGTCATCATTACAACCATTAACATATTTACATTTTATCTATAGGGTCATATTTTTTTCTAAGTAATAGAATATATTTTCTACAACCAAAAAAAAAGGAAATAGAAAATACTGGATTACTAAAAAAGGTCTGTCAAAACCAGAAATATCCTAACAGTATAACATAAAAAAAAGGTAAGCGTTTTGAAATTACACTTATAATTTTTTATATTTTTAAATCAAAACGTAAATTCATTTAAGAAAAATAACTAAAAAAGGTACATTTATATTAAAGGTAACTTGGATGACAAATTTGAAAAAGGATTCTGAACCTAGAGCTAATATATCATTTATTTTTAAAATCTTACCTTGCTCTGTGCCTGAACTTGATGCTTCAGTTCTTCATTACTTCTTGTTAATTCTTCTATTCTATTATTTCTTATTTCTAAAACAGATGATGCTTGAGTTTCTAACTCTTGTATCCTCTGACATGTCAGTTCTGTTTGAACCTATAACCAAACAGATAACAATTTGAATTACTGAAATCAATAGTTATGAAAAAATCTTTTTTTAACATTCAATATTATATTTTGAATTTTTCACAACGCAACAGCAACTAATGTTCTTTTAACTAGTATTAATTTACTATATTATAAGTAATAAACATCAAAACTAACAAGACCTAAATTCAAATAAGATTGACCAAATATGACAAATGATATTATGATATTGAGTTATCCTTCCATGAGATAATCAACAACACACAAAATGCAAGTAAAATCTCATCATAGATATACATTTTTACCACAAATTACATTTTAAAACATTATAGTGACAAAATTTTACACTAAAGCCAATTCTAAAATCTAAAGCCATCAGTTGAGATATTATACATAAATATTGATCTAACTAAAAAACCATCACATTATATTTAATTAAGTTTTGTAATAAGAAGAGGGCCCAAGACTTCACGACACAGGGAATCCTAGTGTGAAGTTTTGGGAACAAATGTAAAATTGAAACATGTATTTTTGGATTTAATAAATATTATTATATTTTTTTGTCTCGTTTCTTTATCACTGATGGTCATGACCACATGAGGACAATCTTGCACAATTGCTCCCATAACCAACAAATTGTATAGTCTTAAACAGTAGTCTATATAATTTTTCTCATAATACTACCTGCATGCCAAATTTCACAATGATTGATTAAACCGTTCAAGCGACATAGGGTAACACAAATATACATACAAACTTTTTTCATATTTAAAAGTTAGTGTGGATTGAATAATATACAAGTCAAATTACAATTTAGCATTCCATGAATATGATATTACGATGTTTGTATATTAAATACTGATGATAATTTTCGGAATTATTTTTTATACCACATTTAATTATTAAATTTATGCTACTGTCTTAGTAATATTGATTTGAAAATTTTGAAATTATAATTTAAAAAATGTATAAATAAAAACATCAATTTAATGACCAAGCAAGAAAAAAAATTGTCAATATATTTGTTAGTGTAAATATCTACCTGTTTAACAGATGTATGGGGTCGCTGTTGAGAAGCAGAACGTAAAAAATCTGCTCCCGTGGACAGTAACGACGAAGGTGACGGTGGGTACTACACAAATACATTATACATTCTGTAGAACTTCCCATTACAATATAAAACAAAGACATTTCTAAGCATTTACAAATAGATAATATGTCAATTCATTAAATGAATTCAAGCAAAACTCTGGATTCATTAGAGTTTAGCCATAGTGTTCTTTTAATAAGATTGAAAAAAGAAAATTAAACATCTGTTATTAGCAGTTTAGCATTAATGTTGACATTGATGAAGTATTAACAAATGATTGAAATCTAACAAAATTATTGAACGTTTTTTAAAACACACTTTACTCAGATTAGTTTAAAAATGAAGTTTAGAATATTTTAGTATTCAATTTGATAAAAAGCAATCTCGAAATACCAGATCAAAGAATAGAATGGAACAGAGATAATATTCCATGTATTAAAACTTTATTAGTGACCCAAAAAATATTAATAGTGAAATTTTTAAAAAGTGGATATGCATAATTTTCTTTAAAGTTATCAGAGCACTTTTTAAATAACAATTCATAATTACATAAAAACTTTTTGTTTGAAATTTGACAGGTAATACCACACTTTGATATGAATACTCTTAAACTGTATATTTCACGTAAGTCTGGGAGTTTCAGCAGAAGAGAATATTTCATCTATGCAGATCCCAAACATCATATAGTGTAAAACACACAATAAATACCTCAAATTCGAATACAAAGTTGGATAATACATATATCCAATTTACATATTTTATTGAACATACCAATAATAATTATTTAATACTTTCACAAATGGTTTTAAATATCTTTATAATATAGTAAAAAAATGTATATATGTTACAAAAACACAATGGCTTAAAATTTCTACCTTTAAATGTTCTATTATTGTGTGCCTAGTATATAACAGAAGAAACAAGGTAAGGTAACCCAAGTAAAATTCAGATACATTATGCAATTATTGTGAATTGTAAACATTTTGGTCATGATAATTTTAAGTAGTTTTTGAAATCAGGTATTTCAAGAGGAAGTTATCATAAAGAGAACATACAACAATTTTGTTACAATATCTCATATTTTAAAATACACTAATATTTACCATAGGATAATTAGCGCCCTGTGGTGACGGTGACTTGGCGCCAGTATGCCGCACAGGACTGGATGAGGGATGTTTCGAGAAATATTCCCGAATGTTTTTATCTGAAGAATTATGCCTCTGCTTGCCGCCGCCACCGCCCCCACCTCCGCCGACGCCCTCTTCTCCTGGAACATTATGATATATTTGTTCAAAACCAAATTGCTTATATACAATTTGGAATGCCAAATGGACTAACAGTCTAACTAATGGAAAATGGTAACCATCGCATGTAACAGTCATGACATGAACTTTCGAGATCCGGGGGAAAAGAGATTGTTAGTAATGGGGTCTAACTGGCCCATTTTTACAATACACTCTACCAGGTCGACTCCCACACAGGAAACGACCATAGTTAATTCTACTGGAATTCGTCACGATAAGCTATAAATGATCTGCTTTCATCCTCACCAATTACTCAAACGGGTGCCCCACCAGCGTTTACCAATAACGCAGGCGATACTACCATTCCATTATCATCCATAAAAAAAATCTGGAGGTCCTAGAATACTTTGTAAACACATGACACATCCATGTTTTGCCATTCTGGAAGACTATGATTATGCCTCCATACCCTGTAATTTCATTGCCATAGCCTTTTCTTTCAACTGAAACACTGCCATGTAAATACAGCAGCTTTGCAACGGGAACAGGAATAAGACACATCTCACAAATAATTATGGTAACCTTAATTAGGCATTGGTGTTATTGATTTTTATTTTATTGATATTTTAAGAGGGACACTGCTACCTATCTCTCGACCATTAAGTTCCCTTGGTTACCTCTTACGACACCCAGAGCAAAGAAAGGGTGTAGATCATTCTATGCAGGGACCTTGTGGCATTATTTCATATGGTTAGTGGCAACTATCACTAAAGGCAAGAACAACACAAGGTGGAAGACATGGATGTCAGAATCTCAAATGTATTACCACCACTCCTTAAAACAAATGTGTTGTAGCTCTTGTATTACTATGAAAGCAGTGACTTAACCTTCATACCAGAATACAATAATGCATGCACTGCTGTTTGGTAGCAGAAAAATTTAACAGTAATCTATTTTACTATGGCTACAGTAAGTGACAATTACACTTGTTCATACAAAGCATGAATTTGTTTTTAACAGTATGTTTGTTCAAATATATTTATTCCATCAATTAATACTTCAAAACTACTGAATAATGCTCACCTTTTCGTTTCCTTTTTCTTTCTGGCATAGCTATAGTAGGTGTTGCACCACTTGGTGGTACAAGAGCAGCGCCTGGGGCTGCAGTCGAGCCTCGCATTGCAGCAGACTTTTCAGGAGTCAATGCATCAACTTCTTTATCACTATGCGATGACCCTGAAATATCAATAACTATAAAGCTCAAATAGAGAAATGCAAAGTTCATTTACTAGCTATAACATATGTAAAAATCATAAGTTTAGCTGTATAAAATAAGATAAAATGTGTGTTCATCTAAAATATGGTCTACATCTATACTAAATATCGTTGATCATCATATAATATCATAAATTTTATTTTATTTAATAAAAAGAGTTAAATAACTTTGCGCATTTACAATAAGTTTTAATAGAAATGACTTCATGAGTTTTTGTTGATGATACACACATTTGCATTTGAAGACTGAGTTATTATGTCCAAATTTTTTACACTAATAAAAAGGTATTCTTGAAATTAATTAAAAATATGATAAAATATGTTATAGAGATAGACATAAAATAAATCCTTTTATGTACACTGACATATCATTGGACAATAAATAACAATAAAATTTTAAAAACTTAATTTATATAGTTATGCATTTACAATAACCATATTTGTTTTACACAACCATACAACAAACATACAAAATATGTCAGTTACATTGTATGCTTATTTAACACCTTTGTCGCTGAATACTTAATAGTCTCCACAGTGTATAGAAAATTTTTGATAGATAATAAGTACTTTATAAGTATTTGTAAGTTATAAATATAAATACTTAGATTTAAATTTGATATCGCAGCAAAATCTTGATTTTAAGGAAAAATATGAACTAAATTTCTAATATATTTAAATCAAAATTATTATAAATTTAGTATTATGATGATCCATAAATTGGTAATGTAGCAAAATTATTAAATTAAAATATTAGGTTAAGAATTGCCTCAATGCCTCAATTTTTCATGTAAAAACAATTATTACTTCTGGGAAAAAAATGGGATATTTTTGTTTTACTATTAAGAGAATAATAATATAATTACAATTTACAATGAAATTAAGGCTTCTTATACTACAATTTAAAAAATACACTAGAGATAGATAATTTTAAATTTGTTCACATTCATTCTCACACACATAACAAAATTTTGTGGTACTTTCATAGTAAGATTATGATCTATCACCTGTTTTAAGGCACTTATGGATATCCACTTTATAAATCAGATTGTCTATTAAAGTTCCCTCAGATTGAGCCAAAAGCAAACAAACTACACAATATTTAATGTAATGAATGTGTTATTTTTATAGGCTTATCAGTAGGCATTTCGCTGTTCTGCAATATGAGAGTCTTATCAACTAGATACAAATTATTACACATCGTCCCTTCTTATAGATTTATGTCACAAAATTTGCATATTATGTAAATGAAACAAAGATAATATAAGCAAAACAAACTGTTCTATTAAAACAATTATGATCATCGACTCACTTTTTGATAAGGAGCCCAGTAGGCCGATGTGATTTACGTTAACTCCACTTTTGTAGTCATGCATTTTGGCACAAAATAGTCTTGTACGGGAAGAAAGACGACACTTTCACAGTTCCGATCCGGCATTATACACGACAAAATGACGTCACAAATACTAGTTTGATATATTGATATCTATTTCACAGACGTTCGGTCAGCCGTCAAAATTTGTAAATAAACGTCAGCTCTGATGACGAGACCGGCTTGTAACAAACACTTTACACTGATCACAAGTTCCACTAATAACTCGCACTTTTATCACTAAATCACAATTTACCTGTGCTCATATTGGAGTCCTGACTGTGCAGTGGTTGCCCCGTGTTGACAGTCGTTTGTGGTGCCATCTGAATTTGTGACCCAGCTGACATCTGTAAAGAAAGATGGCGTCTTTACATATGACTCGATCACTTAATTTCCACTTTACTTAAAATGTTATCAAATATTTAACACTTTTATTATCACCTATACTTACAAATTACGTGAAATAAAAAAAGGCCATGTTAACTACTTCATTATTTTCATTTCATATAAATAACCTAACTAGTTTGACAAGTTGTAAACGCCAACCGCGACAATCGGATACGCATCCGCGGGGCGCGGTGTACCTACTGGAAGGGGAGAAGGCTGAGAGGGGGGCGTGGAGATCGTCACGAAGTTTGCTCCGAATGTAATAATAATAACGACGACGGGCGAGGCGCCATTTTACAAGGATACAAGGCCGAAAACAAGCGATGTAAAACTAGTGAAAAATAATAAAATGCTTATTGATAATTAGAAAGCCGCTATATAAATACCATATAAAAATATCAAACTGATTTGGTAAATACAGCCTCGCCACTGAGAATGACAATACATTCACAGTACGCATAGCGGCAGACAGGTCAACAGCCCTCTATTGCCATCGTGCTTGTTAGTCAATTGGAATTTTGCAGCAAATAAATTCCAAGAAATTATGCAATAAGTCATAATTTGGTTAATTTAGTCTCATTAGTTGTATAGCGTAATGAATTAAAGAGAATTTAGAATTTTAGAAACTAAACAATTTGGTACGAACAAATCCAGCAACTTGACCGATTATTCCCGCAATGAGGTGGCAGTGGCGGGTGGCGGGTGGCGTGCCTCAGTGCCTCTGCCACCGACCGACCGCGGCGAACGAGTAGGTACGTGATATCGGCGCTCGTGCCCCACAACAAACTGCTTACTGGACGTGTTACGTAGGCGTTTGTGCCGCGATGTACCAACATAAACATAGATATGTCTACTTGTGTGCATACCTATCCAAGCACCGTACGCGATAAACTTGTGTGCAAAGGTGAAAAATATGGCTAACACGATTTATATATTTTAGTAATCGCCTATTCGTTCGGCGTTAATATACCTATTAAAAATATAAGTAATTGTAGCTAAACTAGACGAATTGACAGAATGGATGGGAAAAATTTCTAACGAAAAAATTTGTAGTTATAAGGTGAAATCAAAATATAAAAATTAATGGCTATTACATAAAAAAAATGGAAGTGACATACAATTTTAATAATTATATGTAGGTATTACTTTTTTAATAAAAATAGGTACAAAAAATATTCTAATGGTAACATAATGGCATTACACTTCCGAGCACATATCTTTTGAGCTTGAACAAATTGGAAGAAGTAACTATGGCCGTTTGAAATCTCAACTTCGCAAAATCTTACAATGCTGGTTATAGAAGTATGTGCTAGGAATAATACAGATAAGAATGATAATAGGGAACACTCCTTAGTAATTTGGTAAAACTGTAAATGACCCTGTTGAGAACATACAAGACGGAACGTTTGATTCCCTTTTCACAAATTCTATTTTTTTACATTATTTTGAATATATATGTATATATATAATCTTTGGAGCACTTAAAATATTTAAATGTAACATTGTACTATGATCACGATAATATACCTACTTAATTTGAATTCACAATAAATGAGTCTATAATTGATTACATAAGAATTTATGATAATGGTAAATAGGATATGATGACAAAGAAATCTTTTTTTGATTATTATGATTTGTGGACATAAATAAGTAGTTCTTGATGATGTAACAAAAAGGCAAAAGGGTTTCTTAAAAAAAAATTGTGTGCCCCCTTTTACTGACCACTTATTTATACCAATACGTAAGAAAGAAAAAGTTACACCATTTATTATTTATGATAAAAATTAGAAAAACGACCTTAGATTTTTTCTATCTAGTGTTATAAAATGCATAGCTTTTATTAAATTGGCCAAATTTTATATTTGTATATGATTATTCAAAAAGAGGTGTCACGGACACAAACATAAGTAATAATCATTATAGATCATTAATATATATTGAAATATTTGGTGCACTAGCCAACACGAATGCAGAAAGAGACATAAGCTGGCCTGGGCATATTAGCATTAACGCCGGAACGTTGCCGCTCTGCATGTACTCCCTTCGGTGCCTCTTGCCCCCTCCTCTCCTGTTCATAGTGCCACCTCCTGTATTAAGCTGACAACAAAAGTCGCTAGCGAGCGAAACGCATTTCGATTGGATTAAAACGATAAGGAAAATAAGGGACGGACATGCGATACAGACTAAGTTAATAAACACACAAGTTTCACCCATTGCTGAAGGCTAAACGGACGTATTATTTTTCAAGTATAAATAATAGAATCTATCGTTGTAAGCAAATTCGATATAATAAATAAACGAAATCTATTAATAAGTGTACATAAAGATTTCTAATTTAGGATCATATAATATGCAACAATGAGCAAAATGTTTAGAAATTGTAATCGGCTTCAATTTACAAATCGACCAATGATTGGCCTGCGCTGTGTTTATTGTCGAGTCTATTTTTAGCGTGTCTACCTAGCATCAGGCGAATGGAAAGTTAGCGCGTTGGCAATACACGATAGCTACTTATTATTTATGTAGATACTAATTTACTTATAAGCTACAATAAACAAGCATACAAGGTAACATTTATTGTCGAGTTGAATATTTTATCGTGAACATTATCAGAGAATATTGCCTCGCCAAGAAAATCTAGATAATTTTTATTCATTGTAACAATTATCGTGCATAGCTTCAGCTCTATCTATACGGATACAAAATTACAAAGATTATATTTTGTGTATAAAGTAAGTATAAATCTAACAAAAACATTTGAGTATAAAGAGAGGCTGTATCCATCACTTCTTTGCATATTTTAAAATCTGTCTCTATAGTAATATTAACAATTACTGGCTAAATTCTTACAATTAATTTTGATTCAACTGTTTTGTCAAAATTGTGTTTAATGAGAGATTCAACACCATTTTTATATACCCAACATAAGAAGATATTTTTTCATTAGTCTGTCCAAAATAATTTATAAAATTTAAATTTACTATAAAGAAATAAATATCTACAGGCAATGTAATGTGATTTATGTAGTATATAGCGTAGTGTTATATGAATAGACAGGTATAGGACACGCGTAGAACCAACAAAATATATAGTTGTAAAGCATCAAAAAAGCTTTTAGTTCAATTTCAACGTAGTATCAGGGGCGTATGCATTACTGCGCCGCAGGAACTGCGTCTCAATGTTGAAAGACAATCAATACTCAGTCACATCTCTGTCCCGCATTCATTGTGGAAGCGCAGTTCTGCGGACCCTAAAATCCCCTCTTCCGGTACGGCGTTCAGCCGCGTGCTGTTTAACCCAATTTTCTAGTACGAAGGGTGTAAAGGGTGAGAGGTACGAAAAAGGTGGGGTTCAACGCAACTTTAACCGCAAATGTGCAAGCCCAATAAGGAATTATGACTTTATTCTAAACTTGTAACATCAATATTTTCTTAAAATTTGTTACACTATCGATTTTAGAGGGAAAGTTTAATTAGTAATAGGGTTTAACACCCCTATTGCTAGCAATATACCCTCCTAGCAGGTCGACCTTCACGCAGTTTACCCTGGAAACCATTGTAATTAAGTATTGATAAATTCGTTACGATAGGCCAACTGACCTGCTTTCATCTTCATCTATCACCTTTCATTGGTGGCCCGTCAGCGAAAGCGTAGACAGGGTTACTATTTCGTCTTCACCCATTAAAAAATACAGAAAATATATAGAATATAAAAAAGACCAGTCAAGTGCGAGTCGGACTTGCGCAACGAAAGTTCCACAATCAAATTTATAATCTTTCTTTTTGTGAAAAAACTATAAATTTACGGTTTTCGGATTTTTTCCTTTACTTGTGCTACATAAACATTGCTTATTGCCAAATTTCATGATTCAAGGTCAACGGAAAGTACATTAATAGCTCTTGATTCCCTTTGCGAATGTCAAAATATGCGATATAAATTGAACATAATCGAGCGTATCTCTTGATTACGATTTAGAATATAGATTTTTTCACTGCTTTAAGACATTGCAGACCCGAGTATACCTTCTCGATACCTTCACGCGTTCCTAAAAAAAGGGTCTTGACAGACGGACAGATGGACGGACGGATGGTTTACATCGGAATTGCTCACATTATCATGATAACATATTGACTAAAATAATAGTTATACCATATAAAATATTATCTAAACTTTTGGTGGTGATCATAAAATAAAAGTTAAGACAAAAGGAATCCAATGATGTAAAATAGTCAAACATATTTTTTATTCTTTCTTGATTCGTAATATTATTAACGATAACAACGCCATATAAGCAAAGTATGTCCAACATGGATGATTTCAATTTATGAAGTTGATTTACTGATAAGATAATATATCTCACGTGAAGGCTTTTCTACAAATTATGTGTTATTTTTTTAACTAATATGTAGTGGTACGCTGTAATATTTATTTATTATCTTCAAAGCCAAATCAGATGATTTCTGTCGCTTGACCCGTATTTTCCCAAGACATCTTATCCGCATATATTAGTTATGAAATTATCCGAATCGCCCAAGTTGTTTAAACAAATCAAGTTAAATTTATCGTAATATCTATAACATTACGTAGTAGTAGTAGTATTTCAATCGTCAATCAATCATTCGTACCATCTTATACTTATTTAGTACCCTTTATACCGATACTTAATAAAGATTATAGTGAAGAATTAAAATTTAATGGCACCACTAAAATGAAATATAAACTTGGCTGACGACGAGCGTCGCGAGCATGCGCAGCGCTCCATTCATAATATGACGTGTCGTCGGTTGCCGCCGCAGGCCACCCTAACCGGCATTCTTATCTGGACATTTTACTGAAGTTTGGTTATCAAATCATTAATACTTTTAATTTTATCATTTAAATTTTCATTACGTTATAATCCACTATGCCTTTTTATGGGACGATTCTCGGTGAAGCGGTACGGGCTGCGCACTGGGTC